CAAATTGTTTTTATTGAAATTTTTTTGAAACTTTAAACAACAATAACTCAACAAAAGCTTTATCAAATTTAATAAAAAATTTCTATTAATTTTGATAAAGTTTTTGCTAAGTTATTGTTGGTTAAAGTTTCAAAAAAATTTCAATAAAAACAATTTGCTTCATTTCTATTGACTCAACCCCCATGTATTGAATGACGAGGAATTGAAGAAACAACTTGTAAATGTGATGAATTATCTCTTCGTGCCGGATAGTTTGTGATTCATTTGTAGTTGTAGAAGAATTCGAAATTGTACAAAGTGTTGACGTATTTTTTTCAAAAGTTTCATGACTTTCATTTGGATAAACAGAAGTTTCTTTAAAATAAATTTGATTGATAAATTGAAGAAAGTTTTTTTAAATCATAATCTAATCCTTCTGGAGGAGTTCCAAATAAATGTTTGTCATAGCTAAAGTGAATACCACTTGATATATCACATTAAGCCATTCTGATGGTATACGATGACCATTAAGAAATAATAAGTTATTATTGCCTTTATTTTGATCTGGAATAATGATTTTTATATCACCAAGAGAATTGGAATATTGATGTGAATTGAAAGAATGTGGCGATTTAGGGGCGTGAAAAGTAGAATTGATTTGACTATAAAATGAAAAATGGGGAATGTTTATAATTAACAACATTTATTAGTTATATTAATTTAATTTTTATGTTGCAGTAGGACTACAAATCTTCAGGTCTCTCTTTAAAACAGGAAAAGAAAGAATCCAGATGAATCTTCCTTCCCCACATTCTATAGGTTGATAGAGCATTTTGACCAGTACCAAAAAATATAAATACGATAAATCCGGTCAATGACATAACTTCATTAAATCTGATGATCAACATTCTTATTAAACAAAAAGTAAATTCGAATCCATCATCATCAGTAGCAACATTGCTGAAAAATGTTATGACAGAAGCAGGGAATGAGAGAAACAGAAAGGTAATGCAAAATAGTACAAGACGATAAAATTTGTTAGTGCTGAGGCCAAATTCGGTAAATGCCAAGAGAATGTCATTATTAATGATAGGACGTTCGATAATAATCACATGATGAGAAACAAAAGGACACGTGATCAGAAAATGTGAGGTAAGTAGGTACGTCAGGGACACGGAAAATTATCGATTTGTTTTTGGCAAAAATATTTATCGATATCGATATCGATATGGTCAAAATTATCGATTTATATCGATATCGATATGGCCAAATCGTCCAAGATTGAGTAACGTGATCTGAACTCAAAAAAAAATTTTCCAATTTATCTTTAGGCCACACAAATTTATAGAATTGGTTTTCATATCGCGGAATGGTAATCCGTGACGTGGCGCACAGCTTTTTTTTTATTTTAAGAAAATTTTTTTAAAATAATAATAGAAAAAAAAAAAACTTCTTAAAGCTTATCTTTGATTGTCAGTATTGTATAGAAAAAAAATTCATTATGTACCGTTCCTGATAGAATCTACATTACTACCAAAGTATAAAACCATAGCGCGGAAATTTGATGCTCAATAATGACTGCATAATCCAATTGAATGGTCAATATTCGAGAAACAACAAAGGATTGTTAAATAACTTTGCAATCATTTTTCGGTCATATAAAAGTTTTTTTTATAAAATTCAGGTAGATCCTTATTTATTATTTTAAGGTAAATTATTAGGTTTACATTGAGATCAACGTTATAAATCAATTAAGAGTCGAGACTTTGGCATCATTATTATATAACTAAGCACATTAGCTTTATGAACACTATCAGGAAAGGTACGTAAATCGATTTTTTCTATCCCGATCCTTCAGGAATGGTATTTTGCTATTGGTTAATGATAAAAAAAAAAAAATTTTACAAAACCCGCTTCACTAACACGAGCAGGATATGAAAACCAATGATATAATTTTGTGTGGTCTTATTAATTTTGACAATAATTTTGTAGAATATCTACAAAAAAAAAAAATTTACAATGAAAGAAAAAAAATCTTTTTTTTAAAAAAACAAGGGTTTGCATCTAGCTTGTTAGCCTTCAAGAAAAAAACTTTACAATTAAACAAAAATTAAGTAAAAAGTCTTATAATATTAAAGATAAGGCTATACAAATAATTATTTTATAACATGAAATTTTAAATCAGATCTAGCTAGTTAGTTTTTTTTTAAGTTTTATTTTATAACTTGAGTGATCTTGTTTATTATTTCATTAAGGACAGCTTAAAATAAGCATAAAACTAATCTAATATACAAGTATACAAATTAAATCTTTCTATTACTATTTCAAATTAACTCAGTTACTTTAAAGATACTCAAGTTTGATATGCTGCAAATGCTTATTTTTTTCACAAAAATTTTGATTTGTAAGAATAGATTCCTTAGAATTTGATCAACAATAACAACTTCTAGTCTAATATTAAAATCCTAAATTTCTTCTAACTTAATTTATACTAAGTTACAAGTAGTTAACATCTAGTCTTAAAATATAAAAAAAGTTTAAAAATTGTTATATATAATAAATGTAACTATATATTATATGAATATAACTTATAAGAGAAAAATCTATTATCAAATTAAAAAACCCTTATAAGTAAGAAGAAGAAAAAAAAGAAAAAAAAAAGATATTCTTTTTATTTTTTTTTTAATGTTTAAGGCAGTTTATATTGCTGATAAGATTTTATTAGTTTTGTAATACAGGATTATATATTGATAATCTCTACTGTTTGTAATTACATGAAGAGTGTACAACAAGTTACATGTACAACTTTAGTCATTATCTATTTTAAGTAGTCCACTGTACAGATAATTAGACTATCTGATTAGTTCTATACTATACTACTATACTTATAACCTGCTTGTAAGTTATCTATTTAAACACTCTGTTTATTAACTCATACAGATCTAATCCTAATATTACTATAATACTTAACTATTTAAACCAACTAGCTTATTACAGATCTATTTACTCAAATCAGCTTAGGTCTTTTTGAGTTACATTATACCTAACACATTATAAATATTGCAAAGTCAGTTAACCTTGAAGCAAACTTACTAAAGTAGCCTGTATCTATTTTATAGAATTATCTAAATTAGACTCTTATAGTGTTTATATAACTTTGGTCACAACTTTTTATATCTTTACTAGTGCTTTGTATTCTCTAAATAGTCAGATCTTCTCAAATCTAGTTAGCTGCCTAGCCAAATTAGTATTACTGATCAATTGATTAAACTTACTTACACCTCATATCTGAGTTTCCTTCTCTAGATTTCAGGTTTTACTAGTGTAACTATTGAAGATTATACTACTTTACTATTCAGAATTTCTACTATATAGATTTTCTGCTTGTAGATCCTATTAAGATTTATGTATATAATATTACATCATACTTCTAATATTTGATTAACTTAGTACAACTTATAGCTAGTTTTATTTAGTTTATATTTTTGCTATAATATTTTTTATATTTTCTTTTAATAAATGAAAGGCAAGATTGCCTAAGAAAAAAAAAAAAAAAAATTTGGTACAACTTAATTTACAGAGTTACAATTCTAGAAATAAACTAGGTTTATTAAAAGTTGAATACAAAGGTTTGAGTAATTATTCAAATTTGTTAATAGTAGAATTTGAACTCCAGACCTCTTGTATAGTAGTCTGGCAATCTAACTACTATACTAAGATTGTTAAACCTATTCTTTTTAATATAAAAACAAAAAAAGTAACAAAATATAAAAATATTATATAATACAAAAACAAGAATATATATCTCTAGTATTTAAATAATTTATTTAAATATTAAATTCTAATTAAATTATCTAT